TAAAAAAAAAAAAAAAAAAAAAAAAAAAAAAAAAAAAACACATCATAGTAAAATTAATACCTTCTCAGCTTCTCTAAAATTTATAACTTTATCCAATCTGATCTCTTGGGCTGTTACTCTCCTCTACTAATGAATAATTTACAATTATGTACAAAAATCCTATGAGTTACAAATAATTAATTTTGATGTAAGTAACAAAAAAACAATGCTGGTTTAAAATATAAATTTGTATCCATTGAAACCATGAAAACTATTACAGTTTTTGTTAGATACCAGTTTGTTTAAGTATAATTTTGTAAATTTTTTCAGTTGGTGTTTTGCATTTGATGGTTCTTATATTTTCTCATCAATTTCAAATGTTTTGACTTTAATTTACACAGCTAAATTTTATTTAGCTTAGAAATTATTATCATATTTCATAATTAATCTAAACGGTAGACTATTATTACGAAGTGAATCAATGCATTCCATTAGTAAGTAGCACATCGCAAAGAAATTTTATTTTTGGCGATTTAATGCTTTATGTAGAGGGAAAATTTATTAAGACTATAAAAAAAAATGGCCGAGCAATCAAGACATCAAAAGTAATTTCATTATTTTCTTTCATAAAATAAGTAAACAATATTACTTTAAAATTAAAAACACAGAATAATTACTTCACAAGTAATAAAACTTTAGTGTGTGAAATTTAAAACTATTGAATTTCACTAANCAAGTAATAAAACTTTAGTGTGTGAAATTTAAAACTATTGAATTTCACTAAAATTTAAGCAAACTATAATTATATTATAACCAAACCATATCAACGTATCTTCTAACATAAATTTATTGGGGAATGCTTAAAAAAGAAACTAAATAAAATGACCAAAGAAATAGAACATTATTTCAATATATAAGAATTATTTTAAAGTAATATTGAAGCGACAATATATTATTGTAAATAATATACATTATAAATTATTAAATTAAGTACATAATAAACACTAGGATCCTTGTCCTTAGTGTTTATATGTACTCATTAAAATATTCTTATGGAAATTAAAAATTAAATCAAACAATAATACATATTTTTAAATGTTTATGACATAACTATGTTTATTTTAAAGCAATCGTAAAGTGCGTCCCAATGCCGCCTCGTTAGAAACTATAGCATGTCCAAATAAACTCTCTGGCTTGAAAAGAAAAAGTCTCAGACTTCGCAGGTCTAAAAAATTAAAGAAAGAAAAATGGTTCAGAAGTCTAGTGAGTAAAATTTTTTATATACTTCAATGTTTGGAATAAATTAAAGTAATATAATTGTCAATAATTTCTTTAGTACTATTGTGAAATCTAAATTTATTAATTTAAGCATATTCACAATTCATCAAAATATATTACATATCATTATATTTAATTAAGTATTGTACTAAATTTAAATAAAATTTATTTTTCATAATAATTCTTTTATGAGATAATGTCCAATTCATATGTTTTATTGTGCATCACTTATCATCTAATAAAATTAACATCTAATTTTCAAATAAAATTTAATTAAAACTCATTACTATTTGCGATGTGTTGATATATTAATATTTTTCTAGCTGTCAATATGCGTAAAAATCAACAAATAGCAATAGATACTAACCGTGCTAAAAGTTCTAACTTTACCAAAAATAAAAAATCAGCAATGGGATACTTTATTGATGCACCTCAAAGCAAATAAATGGTTTAAAAATTTCATACATAATGACTTTAAATGATTTAAGCAGATTTGGTACAATTTCCAACTGTAGACAAGAGAAAGCATCAGTTGTGGGACATTTTAAATATAAATAATAGTTATACATTAGGTCCATAGCTATATCTCAATAATTAATTTTTTTACATTTTATTAAAAATATTAATTATTTTTAAATTTTAAATAAAATGTAAAAAAAAAATCTAAGTTAGCTATTTTGTAGAGTAGAATTTAAGAAAAATTTTAGTAAAAAAATATCTTATTAATATTCAGTAGTAAATAATCTGTAGCGTTTTGAAGTTTGTGAAAATTTGAATTTTCATGTATTATTTAACGGTATTAATCATTGAAATACGTATTGAGAAAAGGACAGAAGAAAACGCTATCTTTTCATGATTACTATGTATACATATGATGATAAGAACAACTTTACACCCTCCTGAACTATTTTTTTCATTAGTTGTGAATCGCGGATCAAGTATAATTTTTATCTTTATTTCCGCCAAGATTTGATAATTGATCAATGTAAGTTTGAACAAATTTTTCACTATCTTTCACTAAAATGTACTCTTTAATGTTATCAATTTTCACATTTTCTTTTGTGTTAATAACTTTTTTAACATCCTCAATTCCTTATTTTTTTATATACCACTTATGATTCAGATCTAACATTTCATTTAGTAGATTTAGTGTAAATAAAATTTAAATCATTCGAATTAGCAAAATAATTTTAAGATATAAAAATTAATTAAAAACATTTAAAACAGATTTTTCTGTAATCAATTTATTTAGATTAAAATAATTTACATATTTTTTTTATTTTTAAGTGATTATATATTAAAACAGAGTAATATTAATAATTAAATCTAAGTATTTATTTATATCAACAACATATTAGTTTAATTAAACAAATATGTATTGCATACTATAATAATTAATAGTTGCTATTTGTAGATTAAATATTAAGGAAAAATATAATATAGAAAAGTTAATGTTATGTATTAATCCTTTTGTAAGGGGAAACCAAAATTTTCGCAGAACAATTTTACACCCTCTTGAACTTTTTCATTATGGTTTGAGANACAATTTTACACCCTCTTGAACTTTTTCATTATGGTTTGAGAATAGTGGGTCAGGTATAAATTCGTCATCATTTCCGCCAAGATTTTCAAATTTTTTAATATAATTTTCAACAAATTCTTCACTATTTTTCTCAACAATGCACTTATTCACATAATTCATTTTTACATCAGTTTTTGTCTTAATAACATTTTGAATATTATTTATTGCATCATTTTTATAACAGTTTGCAGATTTACTCAGGTGATTCATTGAATTTTTTAATCTATTAAGAAAAAAGTCAACGTGATTCTCATGGTCACATTTTTCAAAATATTTTAATGCATTGTACATACAAGTCGTTAATGGTTCAAACATAGCAAAGTTATTGCATATACTTCTCAAATGAGGTTCATGAACAAATATATTATATTTAAGTATACCATCATTAAAATTAAAATCATTATAATACACATAATATTTGTTTATCTTATCCTCATAAATTGAAATTAATTTCATTAGCATGTTTTCATAAAGGGCACTTAATACCATGTAAGCAAATTCCTTTTTCGTCTTAAAATCATTTTCAATGATAAGTTCGGTAGAAGAAAAAGCTGTAACTGTTGCTGGTTCTTCGTTGTCGCAATGTAAAATACCAGTTATAGATTTCCATCCATTAGATTCAATAATTCTATTAAATTCAGCAACCTCATCAGGATTTGCTTTTGGTCTTAGATCTGGTTTTGGTTTGGGTTTTTTTTTTAAACAGTTTAAAATACTACTAGTAGGATAATATGATATTAATACAAAGAAAAACATTAATCGCGTGAAAAACATAATGAATAATAGTAATCGAACAAAAAGAAGTAACTTATTCGAATCGACCATACTATTATTTATTTGAATTTATATGTTTAGTCTATTTACATACATTAATACAAATATGTATCATTATTATTTATGTGTATTTATTTTATTATAGTTTATTAGGGTTATGTAACAATTTTTGTGTTAAAAGAAATTTATTTGTCATTATACAGCACAAAAATAAAATATCAATCCAGCAACCAACAAAAAAAAAACCAAAAGTTATATCACGCTCTAACTCCTCTAATCAATTAGAACACAACAG